GGATGTATAATGTAGTTTTAATGAAGACAGGAACACAAATAATCACAATGTTTTGGGCCAATAGCAATAATTAAGTATTTTTGTGTCCCTGTCTTCATTAAAACTTCATTATGCAGTCTTCCTTTTAAATCAGTGGATTCTATATTGGATGTATTACATTAGCAACATTTAGGCAACAACAACACATTTGAAAATAAAAGTCTCCAGCTCAGTTGTAGTCACAGCTTGGATATTTTTGTCTTGATCTTGCAATTCAGATTTGATTCACTAAAATGAAAAAACTCTGCAACTTAAAAGAACTAAACTAACATCAGATCAGTTTCAGCCTCATCATTAAAATGTCACGTGCCTTTAAACCATGCCTTCAAAATGTCCAGTAAATCAGGACATTATGGTGAACTGCATGCCTCTACATTTCTTCATCTGCTCTGTAATTATTTATATACATTGGTTGGAAACTTTCCTGTTATGCATCAGATCCTCATTTGCACTTTCATGTTTTCCTGTGCCAACAATCTCTTTATGATTCTATGTTCCTGTAAAGACTGTTTATTATTATCCAGACTCATATGTTAAACATTGCTTTGTTTTCAACTGTCTGTTCATACAACCCTGAACAAAGTATAACAATATATCTTTTATACTTACGATTCCACAATTTATAGTCCAGTATTTTAACAGTAATTTAATAACTATGGCATTAGAGATGTGCATTGCTAAACCCATCCACTCCAAGTACAGTCCTGCTACTTAAAGGGACACTAAAGGCACCCAGACCACGCCATCTCATTGAAGTGACTGGGTACAGTGTCCCTATTTTACTTAGTGCTGCAATGTAAAACATTGCATTTGCATTAGCGCCTGTTCGTCACGGAACTTTGGAGGAGGCAGAGCCATGACTCAGCGCTTATGTTGGTAAGTAAATAAAGGGTTTTTAACCCTTCACATCGGGGGAGAGGGGAGGCAGAGAGAGCGATAGTGGCAGGACTACAGCTTTGTATTCCTGGCACTATAATATCCCTTTAACTCATTTACCAATCTTCATGTAGTTCCTATATACAGTATTCCTATATTGCTCCTGTTCTTTGAGGCCCATGCATGATTTTTAATATTAAGCTACAGCTGTCATCATTAAACTGGTATTCTAAGTGGTATAACCACTACAGCTTATTGCAGTGGCTATGCTGCAAGTAGTTTGGTGTGGTCGCTCTCTCAAAAAGTATTAAACTAAAAAATAACAATACATTTAAAGGGATTCTATAGTGTAGGAATATAATTCCCCCTGCCCTCCCTCTACTCCCCCCCCCCCTCTCCCCAGCATGGAAAAGGATAAAAAGAAACTTTCTGTACTCACTTGATTCCAGTGTCAATGGGTCGGCGCTCCACCTTCTCCGACTTCATCAGAAAGGGAGGGTTAATGCCACAAGTGCATTGGGCTCTCTCCATAGGAAAGCATTGCTTCAGTGCTTTCCTATGGGAATTTAACTGACGCTGGATGTCCTTGTGCAAAGCGTGAGGACGTCCAGTGCCAGTTAACCAAAATTCACTTAACCATCAGGAAGTGTCTCTAGGGGCTGTATGATTGATAGCCACTAGAAGCAGTCTTAGTCCTGCAATGTAATCATTTCAGTTTCTCAAAACCTGCATTGACTTACATTGCAGGACTAAGGGTGGCTGGGGCACCCAGACCACTTTAATGAGCTAAAGTGGTCTGGGTGTCTATAAGTAATCCAGACCAGATTCCTTTGGGGTTAAGCACCCCGCCCAGGCCCCCCAGCTTCAGAGACCTCTTTAGAGGTGGCCACAGGTGTGTATAAATAGGAGGAGTTTTATAGTCATGTCACTTTTATTATTTTCTTTATGCAGCACAGATATTATCTGCAAATGTGAGTATACTCATTCAAGCACCAACACTTTAATTGTTTAGTTGTTACACTGTTTTTAATTGCTTTTATCACTATTGTATACTCACTTTGCTCTTACAAAGTAATGAATTCAATACACTGTAGCTTATGTTTAGCACTAGTACTATTTAATTTATCTCCCACATTTTTGTTATTAGTGTAGGACCCACTGATATTGGGGTACTTTGAAGTAGTAGTGGGCTTAACATCATATGGCCATATGGTGGAACTAAATCCCCATATTTATTCTTAGATAGGCGTTAGCCTTCTTAGTTATTAATTTACAAGTCTGAGTGCGCCGTAACTAGTTTTTCTATAAGTATTTAAGCACTCGAATTAGCTGAAGTAGTCTAGGTCCCTTTAAGCACATAATTGATATTAAAAAGCTACATGTTCCCCACCTCTCTCTCTTTACCCTCTGTTTCCTCCATTCCACTCCCCCCCCCTTTATTTTCTTTCCACACTAAAAACAAACAAATGACAGTTCGAAATGGAGCCATCCAGCAGCTGGGCATGGCAGGATGTTTTTCCTCTCTTTTCCTCCATCAACTACTTCAGGATTACAGCTATCAATACTATACGCAAAAATGCTTTACGTGTTGTAACACACACTACTCATGCCAATGTTAAACTGTATGATTTCATCCTATTGTACAAGTTGGAAACTCTGTTGTACGCCTTATCTTTGAATACTATGTATGTTAAGCTACATATTTGAACTCATAAATAAAGAATTATAAAAAAAATGGTGGTGGGGGGGGGGAAGCCACATCTTAACTTGCTTAGGCTTTATCAATTCCTATGAAAGAAACATTGTTTTACACTTTAGTTGGCATATGTAATACTAGGTACTAGGTATATATATATAGATACTCTAAGCACCAACACGTTATCTTAAAAAAGTAGTTTTCATGTATAGGTAAGTGGCAGGGAACCCTTGGCACTGCAAATTATGTGGCCTACATCTACCCTGATGTTTTGCCATGACTACAGTTGTAAATAAAATACATAAAACTGAGTACATAGAAACATAGAAACATAGAATGTGACGGCAGATAAGAACCATTCGGCCCATCTAGTCTGCCCAATTTTCTAAATACTTTCATTAGTCCCTAGCCTTATCTTATAGTTAGGATAGCCTTATGCCTATCCCACGCATTTTGTGGCACTTATCGCAAAGAAGACCGGGCTTCACTTGGAACGCAGGAGATCGGTGACACGCACGCGGCTATCCACAGGTCCATTCATTTGCCGGCGGACCGAAAAGAACGAGCTGCAAACACCAGGTTCTCCAGATTCCAGTTAAGCACTTAGACTCTTTGCGTTATTGTAAGTGCACAACTTTTCTTTTTTATCCAATAAACGTATTTTATTGCACTTAGCACTTCGGATTTTGTTTCACTTTCTGTGAGCAACATGGAACTTATCTACTAAACTACAGATCATTAACCATGATCTGTTAGCTATTACTATATTTTTTACTAAGTACACACAATTATATATCAACTGCAAACTGGCTTATATATATAATTTTGTACAATACTAAATTAGCTCATTCAGCTAACATATTCCAGTTCGATCATAACTGGAGAAAGCTGTAAACAGCTAACAAATCACAGACCACAGTGTCATTTTGAAAGAGACTATTGTATCAATACAGAGACATTTCTACTACTAAGTTATATATATTTTCTACATATTTCAGATACATGTTTTAATTAATGCATGGTAACAAAAGGTGAATTATTGTACTATTTGTATTAGATTTCTATTATTGTTTTTTACAAGTTATTCAATATCTGCTTCATATATTGCCCATTTAAAGGAATACCACTCCTGAAATTTATTGGATTCTAATCTAATATTTTACTATCCCACGCATGCTTAAACTCCTTTACTGTGTTAACCTCTACCACTTCAGCTGGAAGGCTATTCCATGCAT